GGCAAAAGGAGAAACTAACATTCATATTACTCAAGAAGAAGCTCAACATAAGGGACGACAAGGAACACGAAGCAAAAAGAAATTACAGCTCATAAAAGCATATGGATAAGATCTCAATCCTACAAGTACTTAATTTGTTTAGAAGAGTAATAACTGAAAACTTGAAACTGTATACACTCTTAACATCTGTAAGCTATTATAAAATTTACCCACCCAGCCCCACTACACAACCTAAATTATTTCCCTCATCGCGGTCATATTCTGTTACTTGAGTTCTTTGCTGGTAGCATGACTTATTTTTTTTGTTAATGAATTAAGGGTGACTGTAGCATTTTCCAAATGTATTTTATTGACTGTAAACAGGCATTAATATTCACTAACCGAATCAATCAAATGCCATTTCACTAGCCTTATGAAAGGCTAATGTATATAATTGCCGTCATTCTTTCATAAGTGAAAGTCTGATGAATTAAATTTTCAATAGAACTGTAAATATTTTCGAATTTTAATGCTATCATATTTCTTTTATTTAACCGTGAAGAAATTCATCTGGTTTTCCTTGTAAATCTCAAGGATTTGTCCTAGTCCTAGTGAGAATGAAAGAGTTTTCTTGTTGATGCTACATTATACCTGGAATTTTTGAACTTCAAATGGATCTTCCAAACACATTTTCCCATGTACTCTAAGTTCGTATTAGAGGCTAACTGTTGAACCACCTCATGTGAAAGCAACCCGAATGGAAGAAGTCTACATGGTTCGCTGAGGTAGACTATAAAATATTGAATCGTATTAATGAAATCAAGAAGATGGAGTTATATTGTTGAGTACTGCATACTAGCCTAGTCTTCACACTGAAGTTAGTTACTATGCTTCTGGAGTATACATGATTTGGCATGCAAATGATAGAATGAAGAAATATACAAGAAGCAAGATTGCTTTTATTGAAAACAGGTTTGTTGAAGCATTAGATGATTTTGGTGAGTCAAGATCCACAGCTCCTATTCCAGTGTTAATCAGTGCCGAGCAAAGGAGTAGTGGTGGTGGTGGAGGAGGTGTTGCACTTATAGCTGGCGTTGTTCCTGGTACCAACATCCCTCTTGGTGCAACTGACCCACCTGCCGTGCTGGAAAATTGAAAAATCCAGGGCATAAGAATGTAGAAATGCTGTTATGGAAAATTAAGTACCAAGAAAACAACTGAATTAATTAATGGCCAAAAGAGGTGAGCTGGTAAGGGGACAAAGGCGTTGAAGGAGAAACATGTTAATCTTTCTGTATTTTAGGAAATGTTCATTATTTGAAGTTTACTTCTGGCCAGTACACATCTTTTATAGACCACATTGCACTTACACATTACCATGGACATTCGCAATCATCCCTTCTTCGAAGTTTTGCATAGATGCCTCAAGCATTTGTTTCTTTAATCGCAAAACTTAACTGCTCTTATCAAATATATATAGAGTACCTTGTCTATATGGTTATCGACTCATGAATATCGTCATTGGTTTTTGTTTCTATTTTATGTGCTTCTAGATTCATCCATGGTCAATAGATATTGTTCCCTCTGGGAATTAGTGGAAATATTTCATAAACAGGCCAATCAATTTATGCTACCTTCTCCAAGCGGACCTAAAGCAGTAATTATGTATGAGCAACCTGCAACTACTTTGTCCGAATTATCTAAGCCACATGAAAAGCTGATTGGGCTTCATATTGATGGGGACAATAATATGATATTTTACACGTGAGTAAAATAATTTTTTTCTCAATAGGTTCTTAATAAATTGGGACTTTGATAACAATTTTTTTTGTTTCTATTTCTAGGACATATTATACAAATATAGCGATCAAATTATTTACAGAACCAATTAAAAGTATTTCAAATGAGGTAACCAACTTTTCAAATGGTACAAAAGTTACATTTGTGAAGTGGTAAAACTTAAGTTGTGTGATCTCTATCTACGTATCCTTATTTCATAATCGTTTCATGAGTTTTTTACTCTGTTAAAACTAACCATTTATTATCATCTGTGATGTAAATACATTGGATCAAACTCCAGGAGGAATGTGTTTACCATTAAGACGTGAAATTAAAAGAATATTTTCACTTATTTTAAAGAATAGAGTCTCTGCTATATACACATGAGATATCCTAGAATGCAAAAATAAAAACTAACTGATTTACATATATCTGATCCCTTAGAATCGGGATTTCTAAAACTACTATTTCATAATTCTAGGAATATAAATATTTAAAGTTTTCTAAAATATCTAACCACTAACAAATGTATTTTCCAACACTTGGTGAATAGTCATTGTCCATTCCCAACTTGATGAAAATTGCTTGAAACACTGGATTGCTTAATCCTTTAGTAAGTAGTTTGCAAGTTGAGAGTTAGTAGACACATAGGTGTACAAATCAAACTACTATCAAGCTTTTCCTATATGAAGTGACTAACTAATTCATCATCTTTTGTCTTGTCATGTTGCTACAAATGAAATAGATTTTACAAACAAAATATTTCCCTTTTATTTTAATGTGCTGTAGAAAATGCTTTCAGTAGTTATTTAGGTGCAGATTGTTTTTGATAACTCAATTTTTTTGTTCCAACTAGGTCAAAAGATAGTCGGCACATACGTTTCAGTGTACAGACCGATGAGACAAGTCGCACCTAGTTGTATAAAAATATCTCTATTGTCTGGGGGCTATCTTTACAATACCTACTTGGTGCACCTTAAATTTCACTTGAGTGGCATAATGATATTTTAATTGAATGCAATTGCACTACCTTAAACAAGTTTGATTTCATGTGTTTCTTGAGATATTAATTTTATTTCTCCCATTGCAATGACCTTTTACTTCTCAAACAGAAGGATGACACTGGTAGCAAGTTAAGAATATGGGTTGCGAATGTGGAAACAAGAGAAGCTAGACATTTGTTTCAAAATCCAAATATATTTTATAATCATGTTCTTGTTGGATATGTTTTAACTTTTTCCATTGTTGGACAGAAAATTCAATCATTTTAGTTCCCATCATTCCATCGAATCTTGTACATTCCCCAAGTAGATCGAGCGTTCCATTTGGTCCCAAAATAGTCATTTTTTCTTTCCGTAAGACGATTGGAAAATTGTCAAATCGCGCAAAATAAAAGCATAGTCTAGAAAATGAAACGCAACTCCAACATTCGCGTAATTCCAAAATTATTCGAAAAAAAATTGTTACCTGAAATCCAAAAGGGGTAAGTGTTCTATTATATGCCCCAGATCATGCAATTCCACAACAAAAAAGATGACCAGCATGTTGAAGGAGAATCATAGTCATGGAAGCCCCAAAAGAATGACAAACAATAACAATTTTGTTTGGATGAGCCACCTTTATAGGAAAGTCCGAAATCAGTCTTTCCATATTCAAAATCAAATTATAAAGGTGGTTCATCCAAACAAAATTGATATTGATGGTCATTCCTTTGGGGCTACCATAATTGTGACCCTCCTTCAACATGCTAGCCATCTTTTTCGTTGTGGAATTGCATGATTTGGGGCATATAATAGAACGCTTACCCCTCTTCGTTTCAGGTAGCAATTTTTTTTTTTTGAACAATTTTGGATTTACTTGTTGGAGTTGCTATTTATTCCCTAGACTATGCTTTTATTTTGCATGATTTGACAATTCTCCAATAGTCTTATGGAAAGAAAAAATGACTCTATTTTGGGACCAAATGGAACGTTCAGTCTACTTGGGAGATGTACAAGATTCAGAAGAATGATGGGAACTAAAATGATTGAATTATCTGTCCAAAGAAATCTTGAAAGCATAACGAGAGAGAGAGAGAGAGAGATCAAAATATTATTCATGAAAAATGAAAAAAGTTAAAACATACCAAACAAGAACATGATTATAAAATATATTTGGATTTTGAAACAAATGTCGAGCTTCTTTTGTTTCCACATTCTCAACTCGTATTCTTAGCTTGCTACCAGCGTCATCCTCGTGTTTGAGAAGCAAAATGTCATTGCGATGGAGAAATAACATTAATATTTCAAGAAACACATGGACTCAAAGTTCTTTAAGATAGTGCAATTGCATTCAATTAAAACTTCATTATGCTAGTCAAGTGAAACTTAAAGTTACCAACTAGGTATTGTAAAGACACCCACCAAACAACAAAGATAATTTTATACAACTAGAAGCGAATTGTTTCATCAGTTTGTACACTGAAGCATATGTGCCAACTATCTTTTAACCTAGTTGGAACAAAAAAATTGAGTTATCAAAAACAATCCGCGGCTAAATAACTATTGGACACATTTTCTACAGCACGTTAAAATGAAAGGGAAATGTTATGTTTGTAAAATCTATTTCACTTGGTGCAACATGACAAGACAAAAAATGTTGAAGTAGATAGTCACTTCATAAAGGAAAATCTAGATAGTGATTTGATTTTGTACACCTATGTTTCTATTAATTCTTAACGTGTAGATGTACTTACTAAAGTATTACACAATCTAGTATTTCAAGCAATTTTCACCAAATTGGGAATGGACAATGACTATTCACTAGTTTGAGAGAAGTGTTGGAAAATAGGTTTGTTAGTGGTTAGATATTTTAGGAAACATTAAATATTTGTATTTCTAGAATTAGAAAATGGTAGTTTCAAAAATCCCGATGCTAAGGAATCAGATATAGGCAAATCGGCCATAATCTATTTTTGCATTCTAAGTAAGTGAAAATATTCTTTTATTTCACATCTTAGTAGTAAACACATTCTTTATGGAGTTTTATCATATGTATTTACATCACAAGTGACAATAAATTGTTAGTTTTAATTAAAAAACTCATGAAACAAATTTGAAATAAAGATACATAGAGATCATACAACTTAAGTCTTATCACTTCACAAATCTAACTTTTGCACCATTTGGAAGGTTGGTTACCTCCTTTGAAATACTTTTAATTGGTTCTGTAAATATTTTGATAGCTATATTTGTATAATACGTCCTATAAATAGAAATAGAAAAACATTGTTATCAAATGCTCAAGTTATTAAGAACATATTGAGAAAAAAATTATTTTACTCACATGTGAGGTATTATATTACTGTCCCCATCAATCTGAAGCCCGGCCAGCTTTTCATATGGCTTAGATAATTCGGACAAAGTAGTTACATGTTGCTTACACATAGTTACTGCTTTATGTTCGCATGGAGAAAATAGCATAAATTGATTGGGCTGTCTGCGAACTATTTCCAATTCCCTCGGGGGGAGACAATATCTATTGCCCAAAGATGAATCTACAAGCACAAAAAATAGAAAAAATCATGGTGAAACAAAAACCAATGACGATGTTCATAAGTCGATAACATTATAGACAAGGTACTCTATATTTGATAAGAGCAGTTACGTTTCACGATTAAATAAACAAATGCTCGAGGTATCTATACAAAAATTTGAATAAGGGATGATTGCTGATGTCCATGGTAATGTGTAAGTGCAATGTGGTCTGTAAAAGGTGTGTGCTAGCAAGTAACTTCAAATAATAAACATTTCCTAAAATGCAGAAAGATTGAATTGTTTCCCAAAAACACAGAAACCGACAAAAAATCCGAATATAGATGGTTGGTGGATAACTAGGTGCCGACCATCAAAAACAAACAAAGAGGGACTAGATTTTCAGGAAACAAAGAATCATATCCCATACAATTAAGTTCTTTCCTAAATCAACGGCACAAGAATGAACGAGTCTCTCTTTTTGCAGAAATTGAAATAAATAAATGCAATATTGTAGAATGCCAAAAACTGTCTACATTCAGTATCTTCCCGTGGGAATGGGACTGGTTTTTTTTTTTTTTTTTGTGTTTTGGGATCTAGTTTTAACCTATCTTTTTCATCTCAAATGTGACCACATCAACAAAATAACACATTATATATCACAAAACTATTAAGGACTTAAATGATTTTCTATACAGAAAATTACCTCTATCCTTGGGAGTCAGGGTGGAACCCGCCATTGCAAATAAGACACGGACATGGAGCTTGTTCAAGGTGCTTGAAAATGGGAGATGGCATTCTTTCTTTTTCTATTTCGCCTCTCTCTCTCTTTTCCTATTTAGAAGAGAAACCCTAGTTCTTTGCTTTCCCTTTATAGTGTACACTTACCATTTCATTTACACGGGGGGCAGTCTCGTGACCCCCAAACTTTGGGCAATTTTTTTATTTTTTTTTTTGTCTCAATTTTCAAAATCATTACGGGATACCAAACGTAGACAAAATGTTGCATTCGTAATACAATTTCAAAGTATTCACGACATAACTTTTTACGTCGATAATGGCGCGAGAAACGGCCAACCGAAACAAATGTTACGGCTTGTCAAAGTAAACTGTTTCAAACTAGTATTTCGAGAATTTCGATAACATGCTTATTTTAAAAAGTTTCCGATAATCGTACACTAACCGAATTCACAAATCGTCTATGTTATCTCGAAACTTGTTTCGAGAACTACATCATAGACATATCAAATTGTTCAAACAAACATCGAAAATATTTAAAGGTGCGTCAAACGTGTGTCTTAAGAAGATGCGTCCAACTCATCTTTTTCTTTAAATTTTTTTTTAATTATTTCATTAGCATTTTTTTAATTTTGCACGAAAAATTTCTCAATATAATTTACATAATTTTATTAGAAAACTTTACATAGGGTATGAAGAATGTAAAATTCCTCACAACTTTTTTGAAGTTTGATTCTACCCCGAAGTTAAAATGTTTGTGTCCGCCACTGCACATAGTCTATATATATAGTCGATCATCGATTTTTACCTAACAAACGAAATACATAAGAAATTAGACAATAATTTATCAAAAAAAAAATCTAAATTTCTATATTTAAAGACCAGATTATCAGTAATTGGTGTAATTGGGGGTCTTCTTGGTATATAAAAGTATACCCAAATGAAATTATTTTCTGGAATGTTTGAAAGAAAGGTTCTTGGTGATTTGATTTATCCTGAATCTTCCCACGCACAAGTTTTAAAGAAGAAATAATTTTCCTAGCAATCTTTATTATGGAAAGGCCTCTGTTTTGCCCTCCAAGTTGTCTTCTCATTCATGGCATGTGATGAATGGGACATTTTAGTGCAAAATATGCCTGATGTCACAGACAGCAAGAATTGGTGATATTTACCCTAAAGCTCTTATATGTGAATTCTCATTTGATCCATGAATGGTATTGTCGACATGACTTGTTATATAAAAGGTCGATGGTCAACAGAGTACATCCATATGCTATTTAGACATGATCTTTGTGCTTAGGTAGGTTATCTTAAAATTATAGTCTTTCATATTTATATTTTAAAACCAGGACCTGTCATTTGGTGATTTAGTTTTAATCCCTCTGCTACAGTATGCATGCTTATTTTATTTATCTCAGTTCTATATTCCGTATCTTAGTCCAGCAGTCAACTGTTTTATCCATGCATTTTGCGGATGGATTGTGAAGCAACTTGCTATGAAATTCTTTACGAATAAATATCATCCCATTTTATATGAAATTGGTTTCTTCACAAGAATCCTTGGTGAAAGCAAGAGAATTTGAGGCAGAGAAATATAGAGTTCATATTAAGATATTCTTTAATTCTGTTCTAATGCTACTTCCATGTAATTCTAGGTCTGTTACTCGTGGTGGGTCCTGTCTAGCTTGATCATGATTGATAGAGTTCACTGGATTGACAAGGAAAAGCTTGTTAAGTTTATCTTGGATTGCCAGTTTACTTCGAGAATCTACTTATCAATTACGGTTTGAAATTGAATTCTGGTATTACTTATCACTGAAAAGCAAGAAGTTTAGATTGCTTATCCTTTATTAATGTAGGATAAAGAAAATTGCGGAATTTCAGATAGGCTGGATGATGCTGTTGATGTCTTCCCCACCTACTTTGGTGTTGCCGGTGAGTGTTGAATCTCGTCACGATTCTTTCGAGTTGGGGAGATGTGTTTATATCGGGAATCTTGTCTTAATATGTATGCATATTGCAGGTCTTTCGCTCCTTGAATATCCAGGATTGAAAGCTATAGATCCAGCTTATGCATTGCCTGTTGACATTATCAATAGAATTTTCCTTGGCAATTAAATGGAGCAGTTTATATAATTTAATCATAGTGGGAGGAATCAAAAAAAATTTATGGTTTCATTTTCTGTAAAATGACTAATAATCTAATGTAAAATCTTGAGCTTGGATTCTTACATGGCATTGTTTCTGTTATGGTTTGAATTGTTGTTCAATTGAAATGTCTCCCTTGCCATCGTCTTTCCGCGCAGAGAACAAAAAGCATTCCTTACGTAGTCATTTTATATGGGAAATGTGGTCAAACTTTTTCTAAATTAATTTGTGCAATGATATGGATACAAAATTGGATTACAAAATTGTTTGACAATACGAGTGGCAAGATCTAGATCATTGATTTTAAAAACTGTTTTTGAAATCAATGGTTTACATCTTGCCACACTTATTTTGTACACATCGCATTGCTCAATTAATTTATATCGGTGCACGTTGTGTACTGAGAATGGTATAGGTTATTAAGTACGATTACAGGACAGTTCAAGTTAAATTATCTAACATGTACAAACAACTGACATAAGATCCTATGCTGTACCTTTTTCATTAAATAAACAATTAAAAAAATATTTTGTAAATAATTTTTCAAATTTAATCATAAAAGCTTGATAACCTAGGCTTAAGCCATTATATTGAGGATTAGAATCCCTATATTCTACTTTCAAATGTGAAATGATATTCCCTGAAACTGGAAATAATTTCTATATAGATACAGCAACATTGTGAATGTAAGACAAAATTTCAGCTTTCCAGTCAGGCTTGTGATCTTATTTATTCGAAATCAATCCCAGGATGCATTAGAAGAGCTCAGCACAAGATTCCAACAAGCCTTAAAGCAACAATTTAAACAGAGGAACTAAGTAAAACATAGACGCCACTTTTAAAAGACAATTCTACCACAATATTTCAATCATCCTTGAGAATTTGGCAGTATACGACACATAAAAATTATACAACAAACAAGGTTTTATCACTCTTCCGCAGCACTGGCAGCACTTAAATCCACATTAAGATCAAGAACCTGCATCAGCAACAAAATCATGTGACTAAAAATAATGGAGAACAATGAGTGTGAGTCAAAAAGTGGTTTCTAACACAAATGGTGTAATATTAGCACATGATGTGCCCTTCCTATCAAATGTTTCAGAAAATCTATGAATATCGCGGAATTTTCGGAGCTAAACCCTACAAATTGCCACAATTTGGGCCCCAGGAACTTTTAAAAAGTAAAATTTGGGTTCGAGGACCATCCCATTAATAACAGTAAACATAAACTAATCATCGAAGCAATCAGCAGCCCACCGGACACAAGTTATTTACGGAACCATATTAGCTCTTTCCACTTATAATCATAAAGAGTCGAGTGTCTTCTTAACTATGTGTATCGCTGCTTGAGTTTTAAATATGTTGATATGCACTATATTACCAATACAGACCTAGAGATCCTGTTTTTATATGGAAAAAAATAAAAATAAATGATAAATAAATTCCTGATGTTTATTATTTTATCAAATCAAGCAGGAGAGAATTGCCTAGCAAAGTGAACATATCGAATACATAATGTATTGGCTCCTCCTAACGCACTATTTGCTAAGGACCAATTTACCAAATGGTCATAAATGTCCGTTTTCATCTCACATCTCGGATGTGCTATTCATAACTAAATTGCTGGGTCAGCATCATTAAATGTCCCCAAAAGGGCATCAGAATTGTACCATTGGAGAACTAATGTTACATTAACAGGCCCGAAGTCATAAAGAGTATGAACTATCAGAGAATATAATTGAGTGGAAATTCGACATGAAGGAAATATTACGAACTCAAAACTTAAGTCTTACCTTTCCAGTAATCAGGGTATACATATTCAGCACATCCACCACAGTTGACTCAAAGTGAGTTGTTGCATCGTAACTCTGTCATATGAAACAAAATAAGTGCATCCATGCTAGGAAAGCAATGATCAAGCAGTATATTCAAATGAAATCAAATACGTGAGAAGCTTACTGTTGATATAAAGCAATTGTCCAGAGAGGGTTCATTGACAGGTTCATATCTGTCATAAGTCTCAAAGAAGATCTCATCAACAGGTCCAAGAAGATCAATTCCTGGCTTCAGTTCAGTCTCAGGGTGATCAGTTTCTGCTTCTGTCGAGACAAATGCAATGAATTTCCCTTTTGGAGCAACATTGTGAGAATAAGAGCAGCAAAACAGATACCTGCAGTGTCATCAATCCATCACATCAGATGTTACAAGAGGTTTGCAGCTAGAATATGAGGTGTTAGGTGTTGCTGATCAGAATTAAATTCAAAGTCGACAAGAGGTACTACCCTTAAGTCAAAGATCGAGAAAACTATAATGCAGTCCCCAACTTTTGCTTAATGTAGCACTTGGGTTACCCAACTAAATTTTCTTGGTACTGGGGACGATTTGCATCACTTGGGATGGATAGAAATCGAAACTTTGGCAGTTAAAAAGTCAAAAATTGGTTTAAAAGACAATTAGCCCATGTTTGAGCCCCATTTTTTAAAACTCACTTTCCCCAAACTCATTAGCAACCACCTATTCTCTCAATAATTTAATTTTGCATGTAAATCCAAAAGTTTTCCATACTTTTTAACCATACATTCTACAAAAAAAAAAAAAAATTAACTTTTTATAAAATCTACTCTAAAAAAATGGGGCTCAAACAAGGGCTGTCTCCTCTTTTCAAGATATAAAAGAGGAAACAAAGGAAAACAGAAACGGAAAAAGTTAAAAAGAAAAACAAATCCCTCAACCCCTTCCCTCACCCCTCCAACACTCTTAAACTGCCATCCAGGCAGGGGTACGGTAAATAGAGGGAAAATGGGATTGGGGGATGTTGGGAGTGGATACCAGCAGAATAGGGTGGGGTGAA